TACTTTTATTAATTTTTTGTTTTGAATAATATAAATAAATATCATCCATTAAGAGACTCCACTACTCACCGTAAAGTAGAGCGTGCGATCGATATTAAAGAGTCCAGCCGCTGTAAAGTTAATTTTCAGATGCATCAACTGCATGGAGAACTGTTGCAGCTTCTCTCTCACTTCGGGGCTCTTGGTCTTGTTGAGCAGCGAGTGCACGATGGCACCGGTCTTTTCGCTCTTCTTGATCGCCCGGTTGCTGCCCTCGACAATGGAAACGATGGCAATCAAATATAATATCATTTGACACGAGAAGAATGTCACGAATTCGACGGTCTTAAATTTACTCTCGCGCTTCGATTTGCCCAACAGAGTCTCGAGCACATAGTAAGCATCAAAGACGATGATCAAGAAGGCAATTGAAATGATCGTGAGCAGTTGATAGGTGAAATATTTGTTGGCCGTGGCAGCTGCCTCACAGATCAACTGATGAATCTCCATGGACTCCTGTATGATCTCAGCGGGATCTTTGGTTACGATCGTGTACATCGAAAAGGAGTCCAAGCACTGCAGTGAGCGTTGCTTCTGCACGGCCTTGATGCTGCGTGTATCCCACTGATGGGCCAGGTTCTTGAGTACCTGAAAGTATACAAAATGGAAAATAATTAGCTCAAGCATAGAAGTGATTCAGAGTCAGCAACACCTCATTCAATGCACTCAGGTAGATGCGTAGTTTGATCAACAGTCCACTGATGACTATGCTTACAATGCAAACTATAAAATTGGGCGAGAAATAGCTTACAACCACCCAGTAGCAGATGTATGGATTTAGTCGAGGAAAAACCCAGACGAAGCTATAGATCACAAAGCTTAACAGCGTGAGGAATAGAAATGTTGACAGGCGAACGATTTCTCTGGTCGCTTCACTCTGCCTAAAGTTAACTCCAACGGGTGGAAACGCCTCCTGCTCCAAACCGTCGTATATGGCCAACAGCTGCAACAAGTCCTGACTTCTCAATATCGACGTCGCTATCACAACTACAACTCCGACCATGCCATTGAACAACTCCAGGTCGGCCGTGAACTTGGACACGTTCGTCAGCGAAAAGCTGATCATTATCGAGTGACGTTCTATGCTGCTGTAGACAAAGTTCGCCGGATAGAAAAACACTCGTAGAACTGCGCTAAGCAAGCCGAAGTAGGAAAGTCTCAGTCGATCCCCCGAACTGTCCACATAGTAAGGCATAAGTCCACAGCACAGAGCCATATAAAATATGAGACGGTAGCAGTCGTAGACATTGGCCGGGTGCACAAATCTATCCAAACAGCTCGGCAGCCACATGGCGTATGAGCAACGCAGGCGATTAAGCGCCTAGCCCGAGTCATCAAAACCTAGATTTAGATTGTGCCTAATTAATTAAATAAAAAGCCAATTTCGAATGGAGCTAATAAATCGAATCTATGACGAATAGCCTTACTTTGTTTATAAGCAGAGAAATAGCAAAAAGAGCAGGAGGAATACAAAAAAAGGTATGGCATGTTGGAATACCAAACAAATTGGATATATATTTGTAACCAATTCAGAATTATTCCCATTCGCGTTTACCTTATTCAACGCATCGAACTGTTGCCAGCAGCGGTGCAGAATAGCTCCGAAGAGCACGACAATGCTGAGCAGGAATAATTGAGGCACATAGAAGGCAACGGCCACAGTGTAGCTGGGCCGCACATCATTGTAGATTAGCATCGAAATCGAGCTGGCCAGATAGGCCAGCTGAACGCCCGCGATGAGAAAAAGTTTTGTGTGCCGCAGACTCATAATGCGGCTATAATTGAAGCAGATGCCCACGTCGAGCAGGTGATTATCGATGCAGGCGATCATATCGCAATGCCGTATCAGAAGTCGCACGCGCAGACCACAGCACAGGAAGAGCGTAAACATGCCGGTCATTCCGATGAACTTCTGCAGTGAGTCGCCCACCTGGGAGATGGGCGAGTTGAAGAAGTAGCCCACAATGCTCTGCTCTTGGACGAGGGCAGACAGAAAGCAGTAGCCAAAGAAGGTCAGCTGCAGCAGGGCATTCAGATAGCCCAGACGACTGAGCTCAAAGTGGCGCGTCCCGTGGCCACGCAGCCGGAAGGGCGTTAGACCCAGCACATAGGTGAAAAGGAGCAGCGTTTGCTCAGCGCCGTAGGCGTCGCGTGGACTGAGCAGTTCCCTCCAAATTGGCCACATGGCGGTGAAGAGTTCAAACTGATTTGGACAGCGGAAGTGATGCACCTTTTATAGAGCGACTGCAACTTAGTGGTTCACATTATTTATTGATAGAGCTTAAAGCCTTGAACTTCGTCTAGTCGGAATTGAGGAGCTGTCAGGTCTCGCGTAATGGGAAACCTGTCGGACTCTCATTCTATTTCATGACACTTTCACTTTGTTTGTTTTTGCTATGAAATTATAAAGTGAGCGCTCGTGAGGTGGACAAAGCGTTTATGTCCCCCAACTTGCGAGGGTTGAGTTAATTAATTTAATTGAATTTGCTACGCTGCCAATAATTGGCTGACGTTAAATAGAGTATGACACAAAGGACTTGGTATACTTTATGTATATAATATATGCAGGTGTATGTGTATCCCAGACAAAATATAACCCGTAATGTAGCCAACTGTGAGTACGCATTGAAACATGCAATATTTTTATGTTGTTTGTAATTATTCCCATGTGTCATATTAATATTGCCGTGAAGCGAGATATGAGCACAGATAAATAATGTTAAAATCGGTCAACTTGAATTTTAGATGCATAAAGCATTTTTAATAGCTGTTTAAGATTCAGTATTCCCTTGACTTAAATAATGACATGTGCAAATACTAGTTTTTGGTAAACCCATTGTGTTTATTATGGCTGTGTAAATTTCTAGAGAATTCTTTGTTCTATAAATACTTTACAGTATATATTTAAATATATTTATATATCTACATATTATTTGTATGTATATAGGGGAGTAACAGAACAAATATATGTAACTCATTTGAATGTCTTACAAATAAGTATTTCTAAGTAATAAGAGCGGCACTCGAATTCGATTTGTAAGAGCTGTTTGAAGACGCAGACATAGGTATGTCGCTCCTCCTGGATTTGCTCTCCCAGTGCTTGCTCTGCCTATATTTGCCCTCCCTAAGTTCCTTTAATTCGCTTACTTGCCGAATTAAGGCATTGTCAAAATGAAATTCAAGACGGTCGAACGTTGTTGAGATATTTTAATGAATTTTAACATTAAATAAATGTATTGGTTGTCCGTATGAATGAAATCTTTAATATCAATTTTTTGTGAATTGATTTTTATTTTGTAAATTAAAAAAATAAAAGGGGAACATTTTGATAAACAAAAACAAACAAAAAAATAGTAAAAATAAAATATATAAATATA